AAGGCTGTGCTTTTCATTGTATTTATCTAGCTAAGCTCTTATTTTTTCTGTGTTTCTGATCGAGGGTGAGTGCTTACTTTCAGCAGGACCAGAATGAGGTTTCAAAAGAGCTGAACATTTTTGTAACATTATTAACATTTTACAGTACTGCATCTTGCCTCTACTCTGCATAAACCACATTGGAAAGCAAGATAACACGCACATATGCCAAAGACCATATCCCCATCCTTTCTGAATTCAGGTCTATAAATTTTCCTCTTTCTGTAAACTTCAATAAATATATTGTCTATGTGCCTTTTTCAACTGACAGGAATTTGGCCTGTGTGTGTATTACACATAAAATCCACAGCAAGACAGATGCATAAAACTGCAGTATAACGAATAAACATCGAGCAAACTTTGTTTAGTTAGTCACTGAGTCAGTTTTTATACCTCTGTTGACTGACTGATGTTTTTAAAGTATCACTGACTTTTGTAATGTCTACCCTTGTTGTTTGTTATTTAACAAATATTTGACACCCTAATCCAATGTTTAAATATCCTCTGTTGTAATTCAGTGCTAATGGCAGTACTGAGATGACAGAACTATTAAACTGGATACAGAGTTGTCAAATTTTAAGACAGTAAAATACTCACCTGTGACGTGCAGCATACGGCAGAAATCTGAGAAAATCATCAGCAGAGTTAAGAATAAATAGAAGCTGTGTTCCCCCAAAATATAATATGACATGCAAACATGGATAATCTTGAAATGCGTTTGACAGTCTGTGATTTGAGTCAACAGATTATAAAATCAGAGGTATGCAGTACATTTTCAAATAATAAATTACAGCATAGATCTTAATGCTGAGCTCAGTAAACAAGCTGGTTTTTGTACATATTCTTTTGAGAGTTTGTTAAAATACTACCAGCTAATCATGCTTCAAATATTTAGATTTTCATGTTGTTATCCAATTTTTATTTTTTCAGTGTCCCTCTCATACTTAAGCAACGTTGATTTGCAGTGTTAAAAACAACAGCATTTTCAGACGCGTTATGGAAGTAGTACAGAAAAAGTTGCTCTCTCTCAGTAAATAAGTTATCAGGAGCTGCATCATATTTCCCAGCCTATGATGTGTGTGCATCATAGTTATCTATTCTGGTGATCCCCTGGGGTTAGAAAGGCTCAATAAAGTGACAGGCCAACAATAAGCATCTTAAATATATCATTAGATTTTCTGTTATTACTTAAATCCATTTCATTCCTCATCTTGCATACAGGTCAGAGATGGGGTCTCAGTATATCACATATAAAAAATCAGTGTCACTGTCTGTTTGGGAAATACCATTATCATCATCTAACCTGGCTGCTCCTCAAGAAGATGATGGGTTATTTTCAGCAGTTCATTCAGTCACTTTTAAGAAGACAGGATTTACAGTTTCATTATCTGACATTTCATTTAACATCAAATTTCAGGACTCATCATAGCAATACATGTTATCCGAGAGTTATGTAGTTTTCTACACAGAGTCAAAGCAAAGAAGGATTTGGAAGAATTTACCAGAAAGCTGATTATGTAGTTCCTTGCCAAGAAGAATCACAAGAGCAACCGGGGAGCAGATGCTCATTCCAGCTGAGACTCCCAGTGCTCTGCTAAGAGCTTCCTCCCTGCCCCATCCAATTGTGCTGGTTCTGAGCAGACCCAGCAAACTCTGTTTGGCAACAACTGATCCTGTGATGAAGGTGGCAGATTGATTCTGGTGCCTTTAGTCTGTATTTTAGATGCAGTCTAATCATGCAGTATTCCTCCTGCCTTGCAGTGGATGCTACAGGATGGATATAGGTACACACAATGCACTGCTCTCCACTCGAGGGAAGACATTTCACTATTGTTTAATCCAATATAAATTGGACCCGCTTCAATATCAATTAATTATTTAACTGGAGACTCTTCAGCATGAGAAATATTCTGCCTCCCATTACGCACTTATTAGCAAACAGATTAGAAATGTGATCTTCCTGAGTAAGCCTTCCCAGAGACAACTGTGCACATCTGTGCTGCTGCAAGACTGAAAATATGACCAAAGTAAGAGTCCTTTGAGCAGAAGTTCCCAAGGGGCCAAGAAGCAAAGAAGCAAAGTACTGGTGCTCTCTCTGATGCAGGAAGAGAGCAGTGGGGTCCAAAGCAATTTACCCAATGGCAGGGAGGGCTGTGCTGGTGCCAGGACCTGCTGCTTTTCTCTCCTTTCTTTAGAGGGAATTCTATTCACACATACATTAGAGACTTTACCACTGCTCTGGGAGAATAACAGCGTCTTAAAGTGAGTGGATATCACTGTTCCACCAATTTCAAATCATTTTGTGTGTGATTGAGTGGTATGAAGGAGTTTCAGTGTAAATAAAGTGTGGTAGTAATTTGATCTCATATCCGTAGGGGGCCTGATTCTCTTCTCATTTAGATCAGTTCTACTTTCATGTATCTCCATTAGTTTCAGCATTTATTCTTGCATGAGTGACAGCAGAATTATGCCTACCATAATCGTACATGAAGTGAAAAAATCCAACTCGACTAATTTCTAAGTATTAGCCACAAATAGCAGAAGCCAAAGGAGAATCTCAATGACAGCGGCCTAACAAGTCTGCCCTTACTCTTTATATCCTTCCACATCCAAGACTTCGAGTTACAGTAGGAAGAATGAGCAGAAAGTCAAGGAAAAGCAGTTAAGACAACCTGGCTTCCACCCAAATTTAAATAAAACTGGATTCAGAGAGTCCACTCAGCCTTGTTCAAAAGGAAAGGGAATAACGTCATCACTGAGAAGACACTGGTAAGGCAAGGAATTGGAAACAGTTGTTCAGCCTTTCAAGTGATGAAACACTCATAGGCAGTGTTTCACTCTTCTCTGGTTGATGTTCATGAAGAAAGCTCAGGAAGGGATGAAGGTTCAGAGAACTCTGCAAGCTCCAATACCATCTATGACATCAGATGCTAAGAGGGAAGGCCACAGCCACATTTTGCTGCTGTTCCTGGGAACAGCAGGGGATGGGAATTGTGGTGTATCACCCCAGGCAAGGTTTTAATGTCTCTCCACAGACCAGATCTTTGTAAACACTGGTTTCAGTCCAACCAGCAGAAGCAACAATCTCTTATGTTCTATTCATTGAGTGTCCCTCTTACATGCAATTTTGGAAAGCGGATAAATATGCAAAATGTTGACTGGTATCATACAAGTAACCTTGCATGACTGGCTCATGTAATGCCAGCTATTTTTCTCACTTTTACTTCTGAAACAGCTGTTCCACCACCAAGGCATGTCTGATCCTGCACACATCTGAACCATGCTGTCTGACGAGGTCCCCAGCAGTCTTTATGTCTAACAGTGATCAATGCTTTCAAAAGCCTGACACACTAAACACTAGATAAAAGGGATGGAAGCATGGTCTGGTTTCACTTTTGAGAATTTGATATGTGGAAGTAATAAGTGTTATGTTTCCAGGGGTATCAAAAAGAAGCAGGGAAAAGAGGAAGACATGAATGGAGGAAAGAAGCAAGATGAGAAAACAAGATGGGAAACAGCCTGTCTGAACAGAGACCACAGACTGGAAATATTGGAAAGGATTACATTGCAGTGGTGCACCCTGATGTCCTGCTAAGCAACAGATGTTTCTGTGATGTCTGCAGAATCCCAATGACTAACCTCACAAGAATGACTGAATCCTTATTCCCTCTGCCTATCTTAGCAATTCATTCCAGCTCCCATTTATATTCCTTGTAAATGCAATCACTGGACTTCCTTGAAGTGTTACAAATTACCTGGCACTTCTTAAATCAATCCATTAGGATATTAGCATTTTCCCTGCCAAGTCAGTAACAAGCACTGCCTAGCCATCTTGCTGAAATTTGCCTAATAACTGCCTTGTAGCACTTACTAATACAGCTATTTCACAATTTGTCATCATCTTTTTATAACAAAAAACAACTATTTCTCTAAGATCAGGTTTTTAATTAGACATTAATTTTCTTGATAGCTAAGGTGGGAGGGGGGGGGTTGAAGACAGAACGTTCTCTTTCATTGTGCATGGCTTTCATTTTACAGTCACTTTTCCGATTTTACTAACAATCATCAGAACCCATTAAGATTTCTAAAATCAAACATAATGAAAAAATATTACTGAAAAACGTTTGATTACAAACTTGGAAAATCCCTGTAGCTGTTTTATGGATTTTTAGGTCTACTTTTAAAAATCAGAATGCATATTGAAATTTAAATTTACTTTTTTTTTTCCGCAGCCTAATTTCTCTTTTCCTCTCATATTCACAATCCTTTTATATGCATATAGAGAGAGAGAGAGATACTTATTATAAGAAGAGATGCATGTGAGAATGTGGAACCATTTTAGAAAGATTAGAGAAGCACATCTGTATTCTAAGAGTCCTTCAAACATCTCAACATTTCAGTTTTTGGTTTTCCTGTTCTTTCCTATCAGGAACTCATCTTTAGTTTCTGATAGCAGTAACAAAAACAGAGTAATTCTTTAAACACATGTAGCTATTTTTAATGTTTCATTAATGTTTCCCAGCTCTAGTTGATAAATATTAATAAAAAATAATAAAAAGTAGCTTCAGCCATCAGATTTATCAAGATGGCTCCATATTTCTCAAATGGCAGACATTCATGCTGTTGGGTTGGTTACCAAAACGGAAAAGCCTTTATGATGCCCATGACAGATTCAGAATACTAAACGTTATCAGCCTTTGAAACCAAATACGTGCAAAATGGCACAATAAGCAGGAGAACAAAGGCTCATTTTTGTTTAGATAAGGGATTTCAATTTTTGCTTTTAGACAACATTGCATGAAGTAACTAGGTCAGAGCTACGCTAAACCTGCACCTCGTGTATCTGGTATGTGCGCTACAGAACAGTTCTGCTTAGTAGATAAGATTTGACCTGAATTAAATATGAAGCTCAAAAAAAACCCCAAAAAAACAGTAAAACAATATTAAGAGATCTCACTTACCATAAAGTCAAAGCTTTCACTCTACGTGTGCAGCCATCTCCTCTTCATTGCTCAGCTCAGCACCGCTCACTGCACTCTGCGCCCCGTGGTGGTGGCAAAGTGGTGGCGAAGTCTTGACACTGGAGGTCATGGGCTGTGGCTCCTTCGTTGTGAACAGGAATGGTGTTTTGTCTTCTCTGGAGTCACAGAGAATCATAAAGGTTGGAAAAGACCACCAAGATCTTCCGCTTCCACCACTTCCATCCACACTATGCCCACCAAGAGTTTCAGTGCTATGAAATTTAAATGCAAAAGCATAAGGAAATAAAAACAGTAAGTCTCAGTATTAGCTTCATTTCTATAAGCCTCATATCTATCATCCTCTCCTGCACTGTATTAATAACATTTATGCAGGAATCTCTAAAGCATGGGCTGAGTAGCCTCGCAGCACCCATATAACCCAGAGCCAATACAAAAAGGAAAAAAATATTCCTTTAGATGTTAATTTGGAAATCTTTAGCAGAAAATTCAAAATGTTTTCCTACATATGGAGATCTGAAAACAAAGCACAGCACGATAAATGTGTGTAAATTGCTGATTTCATTACAGAATATTCTATAGTAGGATGTTACATGGTTCCTGGGTTTGGCAGTAGCAATAAAACTTGTTTGTGCCTTTTAAGTGTCTCATTTCCATGCAGCTCCTTACGAGGTGGCACCTTCCCAGCCTCTCTCATTAATCTACTGCTTTCCTTTTCAGATAGTGAAAGGAAAACCCCGCAAATGAGACTGAAGACACACTTAGTAATTAATACCCCTGTGTAAGAGGATAAACTATTTCAACGGTCAACTATTAATCTGGATTTTCTGCAACTCTCTTCTATTTCTTTTTAAACTTTGTCTTCAATTTAAGGATATTTCTAGAGATGTGCAAATCATGAACCAGGTAAATGCATGCTCTGACTGCTTCCATTAATGTGCACCTGCTATGCAAAAGCAATAGGCGTGAGAAGAGCTTTGCTGGCTCAGCAGGAGGGGATGTGCATCAAAATGCCTTTGGATACAAGACATATGCAAACATCTCTGCTTTAATCAAGACAGAGCATGGGCATGAAATCTGCACTGGTGCCCACCAGGCTCCTTATATGCCATCTTTATTTATCTGTTTGTCCACACTACCCAAGCTATTGGAATGGCCTTCAATCAGCTTTTTGAAAATCATGGAGAAGATTTGTACACAGGCACTGTGGACACAAATCTGCTTTATGTAAGAAGAAAATGGCAGTAGTGGCATTTTCACTTTTAATGCATCACCTCCAAAATGAGGAAATAACACAAGTTACTAATGTCCATATAAATGATATATGGGTACGTGTTATATAATGCATGAGTATTTTAGAAGTACTTTCTTCCCCCATTTTGAGGGAAGCTGACAGTTTTGCTTGTAATTCAGCCGAGTTTAAGGTTTCTTCTTTAACATGTAGAATCTGGAGCTGGGAGGAGGGGAAAATGTGCTTCATATTCTGTGTTAAGACATTTCTGAATTAGTCCCCACTGTGCTTTTTCAGGATTGGTTTGCTGCTTTGTTGACTACAATTAGGTGCAAGTCTGCCAATTAATTTTCTGAGTCCTAATCTACCAGTTACCCCAAAGGACACTAATCAAATATTTGGGAAATGAAATTCACAGTTCTCCCAGGCACTAATATCCGCGGAGCCAGCAGAGGCAATGGTTCGGTGGTGCCCCTTTCCCACCTTTCCCAAGAGCTCTCTCTAAGCTCCCACTCCCTCTCTCTGGCTTGCATGGGCACATCAATTCATGACCTTTTGTTTGTATCCCCAGATGCTCCGTTATGGCTAAGCAGTTCACCTTTTTATCTCCCTAATTGTCCAGGTGATTATCTTAAGTTAAACGCTAATTTCTTCACAGCTTGGACAAAGCTTCAAATTTTTTGTTTTCTTTGCCAGACCTGCAGAGGCATTTCAGTGCCTGAAAGCTTGTTCATTTTCTCCAAATGCTGTTAGTCGGTTGTTTGAAAGATGCTGTTTCTCCAAATCACCCCCCATTTTTTTTTGCTCTGACTGTTCTGCCTGCATCCAGTGGGCTGTATCAGCTTTTGCCCACTGTTTTCTCTTTCTTGCCTTAAGGTGGATCCCCGTTTCTTGGCTTGATTAGACCTGCTGAACTGCTATTCTGAATCCTTCAGAAGGTTCTTCATTGTTTAATAAAAACTGGGTTGAAACTGAGAATTCCAAATATGGCATCTGAAGTCCACAATTAAATTAAAATTTAATTATGATGCATAACTACGATCAGATCATGATACCAGCATTCAACTCGCTCTTACATTTCATGGTTTCTTCTCTCCATTTAATAGCTACTTTTCAGAAGTCAAGTTAGATAGTTCATCAGAATAGTACTTGTTAAAGTATTTGCTCCTTCTCCAAATGAGCATCATCTTCATCAGATCAAACCCCAGGGGGGTTTCTTATTTAACTACTTAATCTACAGGTATCTCTTTTCAGTGGCAGGAACCAAAGAGCTGTAAAACCAATGGGTTGTTTAGACTTAAAAGACAAAAAAAAGCCCCAAGCAAATCAGACAAAAAACAAAACCAACCAACCAACCAACCAAAAACAAACAAAAAAAAACCCAAAATGCTTTCCATCAGAGTTTAGTTTCCAGAAAACAAGAACTTTGAAGCTAAGAGGTACCCTGTCATAATCAAACACAAGATAATTTACTAAATGCAGGAATGCTAAGATGATCATAAAATCCTGCAGTCCTTTCTAGCTATAAATGTAATTCAGTTTCTTATATAAGATTTATCTGAGGCATCACCCTAGAAAAATACGTCATTTTCAAATTAGCCAGGTTCAGCACCAGAATTTAATATTCTCATCCACAGTATCAGTGTGATTCTCAACATGTAGGAGTGCTCCAGAAATTCCTATATCAGTGCCTGAGTGACAAACATGATGAATGCTTATATATAGATTTTTCAACAGGATATACCAAATGGCTTCATGAAGGAAACATGTAGTTATCTCCATTTAATACTGAGGGAAAAGGAGGCCCAGTGACTTTTTAATGGTTACCCCATCCCACCAGAGCTACTAACAGCCTCCACTTTATGTCCTGTGCATTTCAGTCTCAGAAAACCATTCTTTAAATTCTCAGAAACGTAAGAACAGTCATTGCCCAGTGGTGGAAAAAGACATCAAAAAAGCACAGTGAAATTATGGAATCAGAGAATCATAAAGGCTGGAAAAGACAACTAAGATCATCCAGTGCAACCACCAGCCCATTCCCACTGTGTCCACTAAACCATGTCCTTCAGTGCCACGTCTACACTTCTCTTGAACTCCTCCAGGGACAGTGACTCCACCACTTCCCTGGGATGCCAATACATCATTGCTCTGAAAAGAAATTTTTCCTGATATCCAACCTGAACCCCCCCTGGGGGCAATTTAGGGCCATCACCTCTCATCCTGCAAAGGTCAGTGCAGCTTTTTCATACTATCTTTGCCAAGATAATCAGCCGTCTACTCTCTCAGTCCTTAAATCAGATGCTGCTTGTTCCCAGCTCAAATATCTTCCAGGATGTTCAATTCAAACAAAGCTGGCACACTGCTCCATTGTGAGAGGCACATTCACTTTCCAGCCCCTTAAGCTTCCTTCTTTGAAAGTGAAATTTGTTACCAAGAGAAACACTGAGGTTTACCATTCTTTTTGCATTAATCATTCTGCTTTAAGATGAGTGGTTGGAACCTTGGACACTTCAAGGGTTTCCCTGCCTCATACTTTAAGTCAAACAAGGAAAAAAAGCAGATCTCTATTGTACATTCTGATAGTCAACTGAAATTAAAAGCTAACGCCTTTTCTTCAGTAGAAGCTGGCAGCTCCCCACATCTGTTTGCTCACATTCTGCTTCATGCTGGTGTAACTGAGATGAGTTGACCAGCATAAGGGAGAGGAGCTCCCACAGCAGGGAAGAATAAACTCTAATAATGTAGAATGGAGCCTCCAGCTGGGAAGCTGCACATGTGGAAGACAGGGAAAGAGATACACAACAAAACAGCAATTTATCCACAATAAAAATATGTTAAAAACATCAATTAGAGCTTGTCATTACAGAACTGCTGCATCAGGTATATTTCAAGCTACTAATGATTATTAAAAACCTCCTTATTGAGTTAAGTTACATTTCATTAAAATGTTCTCACCTATTGGGCTTTTAATTAGCACACAATAAATTATCCATTTAAACAGCAATTACTTTCTCTAGTCAAGTGCATTAGAAGCACTTATTTATGGACTCTTAATTATAGTAGAAGCAAGAAACTCAACAGAACTGCAGCACGTGCCTGCATATGTGCATCACCACTGCTGAAGTAGTTGCAATGACAGGAGGTCAGTCAGCAAAATTCAAAGCAAGACTGAAGTTCCCCAGAAGATCAATAGCTCCAAGAGCTTTCTTGGAGCTGGCATGCTGTGTCATGAAGCTCTGCTCTGCTAAGCCAAAATTTCACTCTTGCATTCATGTTGTCATCCTCTTCTGCAACCCTCCGCAATAAAGCATCACAGACTCATAGAATGGCCTGGGTTGAAAAGGACCACAATGATCATCTAGTTTCAACCCCTCTGCTATGTGCAGGGTTGCCAACCAGCAGACCAGGGCTGCCCAGAGCCAAAGAATCTCCACTCTTTGGAAACTAAACTAAGCTCAGTAAACACCCTGTTTATATATACCCTACAATACCTACATATTTATACCCTCTGTAAAGTGCACATAGAGGAGCAAGTGTGTGTAAAATGTCTCTTCCTTTAATCTAACACTCTCCCAGCTTCCCGTGAGCTGTCAGCTCCCAATAGCTGATAACAGACGTGTCTCCACACTCACATATGCCTGCAGGAAGCAGGGGTGAAAAAGCAGATGGTGTCAGCTGTGTCCAGAACTTCCTTTCGCCCTTAGATAGAAAGATCTCCTCTGAGTTGTCTGCCAACAAAGTTGTAAAATTTGATCAAACTAAAACACCCCTCAGGAACAAATGCAAAGTACAAGAGGATACAATTGCAAAGTGACATATAAACAGTGAACAAATGGATTCAGATGTAAACAATTTGATAAAGAAGAGGATTTGGAGATCTATAAAAATAAACAGCCCCAGCACAGGCTGCAGACATAATTAAATCAGTGAAATGAAATATCAAATGCTGGCAGCCCACAGACACTTTGATGATAATAATAGTAAAGACTCGGTGGATGAAAAGCAAGAGAGAAAATTGGTCTA